TTAATATATTAGGGAAAATACATATTTTCTTATGCATATTTAATCACACCACATGATCCTTAAGCCCTTGTCTTAAATCTTGGAGAGGGTTGGAGGGAGCTATTTAATTTTCCTGATCTTTCTCTCATGTCAGTGCTCAGAGCCAGCATCCGATAAATAAAATGACGTACAATCATTAAAAAATAGAAAGAAGCTGGTTTCCTCTTCCACTACTTGGACAGGAAATTTTAAAAGAAGATACAAGGGGCTGGGGTTGTGGCTCAGCGGTAGCGCACTTGCCTGACATGTGTGAGGCACTGGCTTCAATTCTCAGCACCATATATAAATAAATGAATAAAAGAAAGGTTCCTCAACAACTAGAGAATACATATTTAAAAAAAAAAGAAGAAGATACAATATGCCTAAACTGGATAAAGCAATTTGGATTATGTCTATGATTTCTCATCTATGGATTTTAGGTGCCTTAGGCTCTTAAAAATTGTGTAAGACATTTAAAGGACCAATGTTTACTTGTCTGTAAAGGTATTAAGATGAAAATACAGTCTTCATGGAGAACGTATCCCCATGGTTTATCATACCTCTATCCCTCTATCTGGATCCAGGTAAAATCTCCAACCTAATAAATTCATCATTTTTATACATGGTGGCAAGAAACCATACAACATAAAATCACCATTCTGTCAATTTTTAAGTGTACAACATTGTTAGTTATATACATGTGGTATGTGATTGAAATTGTCTACAGCCATTAATCAACAACACCCTGTTTCCTCTTCCCCCTAAACTCTGACAAGCAAAATTCTACTTGTGTTTCTGTGAATCTGATTGCTTTAGGTACTTCATATAAGTGGAATCACGAAGCATTTATCTTTTGGAAACTGACATATTTTACTTAGCAAATGTCGTCCAGGTTCATGGATTTTCCTTTTTTTTTTTTTTTCCCAATGGCTTTATAGTTTCAGGTTGTATACTTAGTTCTTTAATTCATTTTGAGCTAATTTTTCTTTTAATTGTCCCTATCCATGGGGAATTGTTTCCAGGAACCCCTCCTGTCTACCAGTAAAATCAAAACATGAGGATACTGAAGAATCAAATGCTGTAGTATTTGCATGTAACCTATATAATCCTCCCAATCACTTTAAATCATCTCTAGATGACTTATAATACCTAATGAAATGTAAATGCAATGCAAATACTTGTTGTATTGCTTAGGGAATAAGGAAAAGAAAAATCATCTGTACATTTTTAGTATAGATGCATTTTTTTTCTACTGAGGATTGAACCCAGGGCACTTAACCACTGAGCTACATCCACAGTCATTTTTGTTTTTTGTTTTGAGATAGTGTGTTGCTATCTCTTAGATATTCAGCCCTTGCAAAGTTGCTGAAGCTGGCTTTGAACCTGCAATCCTCCTGTCTCAGCCTCTGGGATTATAGGCATGGGCCACCACACCCAGCTTTTTTCAAATATTTTTATTTATGATTTGTTGATTTCAAGGATGTGGAATCCACAAATATGAAGGTACAACTGTATATTTTTAAGACAAAGGCCATTCTTCATTCCTTTGTGTGTGGATATCAGGTTTTCCCATCCTAATTCTTGAAGAGATTATTTGTCCTATTGTGGAGTCTTGGCACCTTTGTGAAACATTAATTTAGCCATATGTGCAGAAAGCCTTTTTAACCTGTCTATTTTATTCCCTTGGTCTATATCTCTTTCTTTATGTCACTATCACACTGTTTTGAATGATGTAGCTTTGTAATTGTTCTTCTTTTTCAAGATTGTTTTGGTTATTCTAGGGTCCCTTGAGATTCTGTATTTATTTTTTCAAATTTCTGCAAAAAATGGCATTAGTATTTTTATAGGATGACATTGGATCTGTAGATCATTTGGATAGTATGGAAATTAATAATGTTCAACCTTCTAAATCCATTTGTTTGTGTCTTTAATTTCTTTCATTAAAAGGTCATAGTTTTTAGTCTTTAAGACTTTTGCACCCTTGGCAAAGTATGTCCTAAATACTTTGTGGGGGTTTTTTATGCTTTGTTAGAAGAGTAGAAGTAGTGAGAGGGGGAATTCATGCCTTTTTCTGACCTTAGAGGACAGGCTTCTAGTATTTTATCACTGAATACATTTGATGTGAGTTTCTCCTAGGTTTTAGTCAATTTTTTCACCACTGTCACAAAAAAGACCTGACAAGAACAATGTAGAGGAGGAAAAGTTTATTTGATGCTCATGGTTTCAGAGGTCTCAGTGTAGAGATGGCCAAATCCATGCTCTGCCCTGAGGTGAAGCAGAGCATTATGGCAGAAAGGTGTGCACGGCGACCAGAAAGAAGAGAGAGAGAGAGACAGAGACAGAGAGAGAGCTCTGCTTACCAGGGACAAAATATAAACCTCAAAGGCACACTTCTAGTGACCCACCTCCTCCAGCCACACCCTATCTGCCTAGTCACCTCACATTAATTCTATCAGTGGATTGATGTGTGACTCGATCATTTCACCTCTAAACCTTCTTGCATTGTTTCACACATGAGCTTTTGGGGAAACACCTCATCTAAATCATGACATCCTACATGACCTTTTCATGTGGAGGTAATTTCCTTTGATTCCTGGTTTGTTTTGCATTTTTGTCGTAAAAGTCCAAATATTCTTTAAAATACCAGATATATATGAACATAGAATAAATCAGAGATGAAGTTTGCCTATTTTTTAAAGACATTCTAAGAACCAGGCATGGTGGTACACACCTGTAATCACATTGGCTCAAGAGGCTAAGGCAGGAGGATCACAAATTCAAAGCCAGTCTCAGCAACTTAGTGAGACCCTAAGCAACTTAGCAAAACCCTGTCTCAAAATAAAAAATAAAATGGGCTGGGGATGTGGCTCAGTGGTTAAGCACCTCTAGGTTCAATCCCTGGGGCTAAAAAAAGATATTAAAAAATTGATGATATCAGGGAATGGTGGCATGTGCCTGTAATCCCAGCATCTCAGGAGGCTGAGGCAAGAGGATAATGAGTTCAAAACAAGCCTCAGCAAAAGTGAGGCACTAAGCAACTCAGTGAGACCCTGTCTCTAAATAAAATACAAAATAGGGCTGGGGATGTGGCCCAGCTCTTGAATTGCCCCAAGTTCAGTCCCTGGTACCAAAAAATAAAAGTTGATGATGTTCCTAACAGAAGGAAAGACTTGAGTGATACTTTAGATACTGTTTAGATACTGTTTATATATCACCTTTGTGTCATCCTTGGTATTGATATTGATTAATGTAGCATTTTTCTGCTCCTAATCAGAATCTCCAGAGTTTGGAAACATTTTCCAAAAAAAAAAAAAAAAACACTGATTTCTCATTGCCTTTTAGTTAAACCTCCTTGGGTGGCCTCCAGAGTAGAACAGAGTAAACCCCAGAAGGTGAGTGTCTTCTAAGTTCTGTTAGCCAGAAAATCTTCCTCATAGATGCAAACACAGGTAAGAGAAAAAAAACACAAAGCACCCTTCCCAATCACATGACAGTGTTTGTCATCACCATCATTTTAAAAGATAATAAGAATAGTAACAGTAATTGCTGACACTTGTTTTGTTTTCACTGTGTTGCAGACTATATTTTAAGCATTTCATGTGAATAAACCACTAGAACCTCCCAACATCCTATGAGGTGGTAATAAAAACCACATCCACTTCATAGATAAGAAGTACAGGAACATGTGACCACATGCCTGAGACCCCAAGCTGATCCAAACTCTTTCTCAAAATGATTTTAAAGCTCACCAGAACTTTGATAGCATTGTAAATTTTGTGCTCTCTTGGTCCTCTCTTCACCTCTTTTCTCTGACTAATTTTTCTAACCTCAGCTCTCTGCTAGGCCTAGCGAGAAATGTGCTAAGTCTCTCTGAAGGAAGCTTACAAGTATGTAGGGAGTTCATACTGGAGAAGCCCAGATGGAAAAGGAGACCCATCTTGTAAGAAGCAGCTCCCAGCCCTGAGAACATTCAGGGTTGGTGTTTGAGAACGGACAAATGAGAAAATGACTGGGGACTCCACTGGTCACACACTATTCAGTAGAAAAGTATTTCTTGGAACTGATTTCAGATGCTTGCTCTGTGGGTGAGAGCTGGTACCTTCCCCTGGGCTTTTGTTAGATGACTCACATGTTGTCTGAAAGCATTTGTTCAACTTGCTGCCTTTATACATGAGATCTGGGAGAGAATGGTCTGCACCTGGCTTTCCTTAGAAATCCCAGACCCTTTTATGTTAACTGAATAATTCAAACTTTACAAATTAAACTAAAAGTGACAGGGCTAATGAATGCTGAAGACAATACCCTTGAGCTACATTTCAACTGTAGATGTGGTTGAGGGGGCAAAATTGACATAGACTTGTGGAAGAAATGACCACCCACATTAATACTACTTTCAATAGTACACAGAACACTTTGGTGAACACTTACATTTCATGTTCACTATCATATTAATAACTAGCATTTTGCTAATTTATGGCTCAGAAAACTGAAGAACATTGGTGAATAGTGCACCCTTACTCAAGCAAAACTGGTGCAGGAACCAGTTAATCAATCACAAAGCCAAACACTCCTTCCAAGATATGGCAGTTTGCTACCTTCAGCATTTCTCTCTCAGTTTTCCAGAACCATTTCTGCCAACATTTCTTCATTATCTTCCCAGCCTTACCACTATTACTCTATTTTCTGAGTGTGCTCTGCCCCTCAGCTTTTTCTACACTTCCCCTCCCATTGCAGATGATACCCTCTTTTTCTCTACAAGTGTTAGCCCTTCATTCACAGACTATAGTGATTATCTAGCTAGTCTTCCAGGTATTCTCCCTTCCTCTGTCTCAAGTGCATGGATCTCAAGGAAAACTGAAGGGAAAGAGCCTTGGGACATGGGACAAGTCCAGGATCACAGACTACTTAGGCTCTTCCTTTCACCTCAGTATTCAGACCCCTCAGGAAGTCCCAAGGGTTACTGAAGCATTAACCAAAATCATACATAAGAAAATATGTCATAAGATCTTAAGAACTAAAGAAATGTGTATTGTATTTTCATATGCGACTCTCATTGAAGGGAATGCCTGAGGTGCTGTTAAGTAATGAATCTAGTTTGAAAGAATTGTCAGGAACAGCAAATTTACTGAACACAAGTGGCTCAGAACAAGTCCAGAAACCAGTGTCGCCTCTCAGAGAAGCAAGTACCTCTAGACAGCACTCTAGACGAAAATTAGGTAAGAGAAAATAATATGGGGACTTTAGTCTTTCCAGCTCCTCTAGAAAGGTTGGTGAGATGGTCTAGATATGTGAGGCAGACCTTGGAGAGGCCTGAACTTGGAGAGGCTGACTAGGCTGAGGGACTGGACATTGGGTTCATATTGATCGGCATGTACAAACATTGACTCTGAAGCCACATGTGTGGTTTATTGTCCACATAGAAACACTGGGACCTTGCTTTGATCTTATAAACTTGGTGAGATTCTAAATGCTAATCTGTAAAATGAGGATAAGGATACATAGTTCATATGTTGTTTGAAAGCATTGAGTAAAATTGCTGATACACACCAGGGGTCCAGTAGATCTACCTGTGGGACCATACTTCCTTAATGTTGTGTTTCTGCCTTTGTGCAATGCCTTACATGCCATGTGCCCTCTACCAATATTTTGTGAATGAATGAATATGTTGAATGAACCCTTTTATAGGTATAAAGTTTGGGCAAGTAGAAATTAAATATGAAAATGAGGACAGCTAGACATTAAAATTGCCTTAGGCATCTGTAGTCAGTGTGAATGTGGAACCGTAGTTTCTCTGAACCAGTAGTTAAGCAGGGGCAGAGTGTGTGGAAGGAAAGATGATGATTTGATGGTAGGAGATATCCCATTTTCTGGAGAAATAGGGACAAACCCTCCAGATTCCCAGCTTCACTCACCTTCTGTTCTCCAACTTAGAACTCAGGACAAAGGAGGTTGAAGTGAAGATGTACAGCCTGCGAGAAAGGAAGGGCCATGCATACAAAGAAGTCAGCGAGCCCCAGGATGATGACTACCTCTGTAAGTGACCCCTTGGCCCACTCATGCAGAAGCTGCTGTGTTCTGGTGCAATAATCTGTCCTGCCATTCAGCCCTCACATCTCTCCCTTCCTCTACTGACCCACAGTGCAGGACTGAGTGGAAATAGCATGGTGCTGTACTCTTTCTAAAACTCTTTATATACAGGAATGTGTGCATACCTCTCCTAACACCTCCTACTCTCACTTCAGATTGTGATAAGTGCCAGAACTTCTTCATCGACAGCTGTCCTGCTCATGGGCCCCCTACATTCGTAAAGGACAGTGTGGTCAACAAGGACCATTCCAATCACTCGACCCTCAGTCTGCCCCTCGGGCTGAGAATTGGACCATCAAGCATCCCAGAGGCTGGGCTAGGTGTGTGGAATGAGGCAACTGATCTGCCACTGGGTCTGCACTTTGGCCCCTACAGGGGCCAGATCACAGAGGATGAAGAGGCAGCCAATAGCGGGTACTCCTGGCTGGTGAGAGTGCCTCCCTTCCCTGTTTTCTAGCTGTGGTGTGATGTGTAAGGACATGGACAGGGCAACATGGTTAGCTCTGTGGGCTCGAGGATCTTTGCATGCACATGGAACCCCTTCAAAATTAGAGGGTAAGTGGGAGCAAAGCAGTGTAGAAACAGATTGGTGCCTCCAGCCTGTGGAGCCTCTGCTCTGCCGGGAAAGTCATCATAGTATGTGGATGATGGCTAGGGACGTACTGTGTGGTCCCAAGGCGTGGCTGAATCTGCGCAGCCTCAAAGAGCATCCATGAAAGCAGAGTGACATGATTGTGCTGGTTATCACCTCTCAGAGCTTTAACTTGTTTTCCTGAAACCCAGATCACCAAGGGGAGGAACTGCTATGAGTACGTGGATGGAAAGGATGAATCTCAGGCCAACTGGATGAGGTAAGGCCGGGAGGTCCCTGGGCTCTGGGGAGGGATATTCCTGTCCTTCTCCTCAGGCCCCCTCAGTGGTTCTCAGGCGTCTCTTCCTCATTTTTCTTGCACATCACTCTTCACATCATGAACATTGGGACAAGAGAAATAAAATATAAATACCATAATTTGCTTTTTATCAAAAACGCAAATCTCCGTGCTAGACAAAATTGGGACACTGAGATGAAGCTCGAGCAGCCTAAATTCCTTTGAGAAACCGGATTAATACTTTTTTCAAAAGTTATTAATCGCTTAGTGTGTTCCAGTTCAAAGAGCAGACTTTGTTATTTGAACAGATCATACAACCCATGTCCATGTGCGGGACTATGGCAGACAAACATGAGGCATTTTATTACAGGAACATTTAACTGTACTTTTCCTGGGATTTTTTGTTTTATTATTGTTTTTGTTTCATTTTGAAAAGTACACAGTTCCAGGGCAACCTAAAAGGGACCTTAAATCTGTAAGCAAGAAATCTTGATAGCCTCAGCCATTAACACTGGGTCTGAGCCTGAGGAGAAGAAAGCCTTAGTGGGCCGAGGGTCCCCATGCTGTGTGCCCTTTACCATGAGGGCTCTTGTTTTACCAGGGGATAGAGCACATGGATAGGGTGTTATCAGTAAGATAAAGAGACCCCTGAGTTTCTATGGGAACCTGGGTGAGGCAGGTGAATGGTACCTGAGCAGGCAGTAGAGAGCCCTCTCCAGAGAAGATGACTCAGGCGTAATCTAGAATCAGAGCACATGGCCAGCACCAAGTTCTGTGGTGTATGGCAGAAAGTCATGAGCATTCAGAGAACCTGCGGGTCATTGTGTAGTATGGCCTTCAAGGTGGAGGGACATCTGGAACTGGGCTTAGGTGAAGGGAAAGACTTCTAGGCCAGGTGAGCACTGTGAGCATATGACCTTGTGAAAGAGACTTGGGCAGAAAAGGTTCCTGAGGAAGTGGGTGGGGTGGCATCATCAGAGCACAGAAGCAGTGACCACCAGGTGAAGGGACAGACACAGACCTGACAGGGAGGGGAACTGACCACCTGGTATTTCCTTCCCTTTGCCTGTCTCAATGCCAGGTATGTGAACTGTGCCCGGGATGATGAGGAGCAGAACCTGGTAGCCTTTCAGTACCACAGACAGATCTTCTACCGAACCTGCCGGGTCATCAGGCCAGGCTGTGAGCTGCTGGTGTGGTACGGGGACGAGTACGGCCAGGAGCTGGGCATCAAGTGGGGCAGCAAGTGGAAGAAAGAGCTGTCAGCAGGGAGAGGTGGGCCACTATGATTCCTTAAAACAAAGGAAAGAAATCATTCTCCCTGAGAATTTTCATGTTTTAGCTCTCAAGTAGAGTGATAGGCTATCTAAAGCCAGTAAGAATTTCAAACAGGTACTTCAGAAATTAAAGATTAATGTCATAAGCCTTTGACTCTTAGGAACCATCTTTTTATTTTAAAATATTATTTTTAATGTGTAAGTACTTTAAGTACTTGACATATAAGACCATATTGTGCTTAGAGACTAAAGCAAATTCTCAAGTCCCTGCATGCTCTCTCACTGAGCCAGTGTCTCCTGGCCTTTTCATATGTTTCCCTTAACTTCCTTTAAATCTCTAAATAATGTGCATGTGTTGTTACTCATTCATTATGTCAGCTAGTGAACCTGCTCTGTGCCGGGAACTAAACCGTGCAAATTGAACAGACAGTGAGAATGACTGCTCTCGGGCAGCTGGCACACGGATTAGAGAAACACATGTTCTCATGCAGGTTTGTACATGACACATCTGAAGAAAACTGACCTACAGAAAGCACTTGGGAATCCATGTGAGGGAAGGGTAACGTAGCAGATATGGTCAGGGAAGGTTCTCCCAGGAGATAAAATTTGAGAGGTGCAAATAGCTGTGGGTAAAGGACTCCAGGCAGAAGGAGCAGCTCCTGCAAGTGCCCTGAGGCAGGAAAGGTTTGGTATTTGGTGACTGGCTGAGACCACTCAGGTAAAGGAAGCAGAGAACAAAGACACATGAAGGCCTGGAAATGTGGGGGCCTATGACTTGTGCCAAGACCCTGGAGATGGTGACAATTGCAGTTTGGGTTCTCTGTTCTAAGATGATGCTGTGGTTAACTCATGACTGCAGTGTGTGATCCCTTCAGATGCTACTTCAGCCTTCAGGTGAGAGGGTAGGAGGTTGGGAGAAGGTGGGAGTCAGAGAGGGAAGACAACTGATTAGGATCTATTTTGAAACAGAAATTCCTGTTGTATTTGTAATGGGTTAAGACAATTAAATAGGTCAAAAAGTGAAGGCTTGCTGTGAGGCTTGGGGAGGGGCATATTTTCACTTCATGATTGGTGGAGCATGCAGAGAGAAGCAGTTCATGGCTGTTGCGCAGCAGAAGCCACAGCCCCTTAGTTAGTGGGTTCTGGGCCACATTCTCTTGTCCAGCAGGAACCCTGCTCCTCATTGAGAGACAGGCATATAACAGTCCTCAACTACATCTTTCTTTTTGATTGGCGGACTGAAATTCAGACTGACTGATACACCTCTATATGGCCTCCCACAGTTGCAGATCCCCAGGATGAGAGGATCCTAGCTAATAAACAGATCCTTTTCCTCTCTAGGAAAAGTCACTGAAGAAAGTTCTACCTAATTCATCAAGTGTTATTTCTCAATAGAATGAAATAGCTGCAGACAGAATATCAGGAAATGTGTTCAGGAATCTATATGCAAGGGTGTGGGGTGTGGCAGAGGATGGCTGGGCAAGACGGACACGTCTTACAAGAGAGTCATGGCATGTGGGGCGTGGTCACTGCAGCTCCATCAGAGGCAGAGAAGCTGCCTCTGATGCTACTGGAAGGTCCCTAGTCTGGCTGACATGGAGAAAAGGCCCTTGACCTGGGCTTTTTGGATTTCTGAGCATATAAAATAAAATAAAAATGTACTAGAAAAATACACTGTGGGGGGAAATAGCTTGTGTTCTTAGCACATAAAGACTGAGTAGTGATGCAGGCCTTGCCACACAGCAAAGAAGATGCGCAGACAGCTTGTCTACATCTGTCCTGACCAATAACTTCCTCTTTCAGCAGAACCAAAGCCAGAGATCCATCCTTGTCCCTCATGCTCTCTGGCCTTCTCCAGTCAGAAATTCCTCAGTCAGCACGTGGATCGCAGTCACCCCTCTCAGATCTTCCCAGGAACATCTGTGAGAAAAAAACTCATACCAGGGGACTCTTCTCCAAGAGATCAGCTTCAGGAACAGCAACATCCTGATCCACACGGCTGGAATGACAAAGCCAGAGGTCAAGAAGTCCAAGGAAGTTTGAAACCCACACATAAAGGGACAAGGCAGAGGGGAATTTCTAGCCCACCCAAAGGACAAATGGGGAGATCTGACGAGAGTGAGAGAATGATGGAGGATGACCTCAAAGCAGACCAGGAAATGAATCCAGAGGACACAGACAAAATATTGGTGGGGGTAGAAATGTCAAGAATTGTAAGAGTCAAAAATGGAGGGTGTGGGCAAGGCTTTACACAGAAGTCAGACCTCATCCAACACCAGAGGACACACACAGGGGAGAAGCCCTATGTGTGCAGGGAATGTGGGCGAGGCTTTACATGGAAGTCAGACCTCATCCGGCACCAGAGGACACACACAGGGGAGAAGCCCTATGTGTGCAGGGAGTGTGGGCGAGGCTTTACACAGAAGTCAGACCTCATCCGGCACCAGAGGACACACACAGGGGAGAAGCCTTATGTGTGCAGGGTGTGTGGGCGAGGCTTTACACAGAAGTCAGACCTCATCCAACACCAGAGGACACACACAGGGGAGAAGCCCTATGTGTGCAGGGTGTGTGGGCAAGGCTTTACACGGAAGTCAAACCTCATCCAGCACCAGAGGGCACACACAGGGGAGAAGCCCTATGTGTGCAGGGTGTGTGGGCGAGGCTTTACACGGAAGTCACACCTCATCCAGCACCAGAGGACACACACAGGGGAGAAGCCCTATGTGTGCAGGGTGTGTGGGCGAGGTTTTACACAGAAGTCAGTCCTCATCCAGCACCAGAGGACACACACAGGGGAGAAGCCCTATGTGTGCAGGGTGTGTGGGCGAGGCTTTACACAGAAGTCAAACCTCATCCAGCACCAGAGGACACACACAGGGGAGAAGCCCTATGTGTGCAGGGTGTGTGGGCGAGGCTTTACACAGAAGTCAAACCTCATCCAGCACCAGAGGGCACACACAGGGGAGAAGCCCTTTGTTTTCAAGAAGGATAAGTAAGTAATTAACAATAAAACCACATTTCAACAGCCACAAGAAGACAGAGGTAGCCAGTACACATCTACACACCCCAGCTCTGAGGGTCCTCAGAGGGAAGTCTACTGACACCACACATTCCCTGAGGGTGTAAATAGCTGATTAAACCAATTCTTCACTTTCTTGGCAAGACATGAAATAGAAAATCAGTGAAAAGTTCCTCAAGTTTCTGGGGATGTTCACTCATGTTTTTTTCCATGCTGACCCCCTCCATGTTCCTTTGGCCTCCCCGTTCTAATAAATTTTTTCTCCACACAAATGAGAAGCTGAAGCCATGTGCTTTATTCCCACCTTGTCAATGAAAACAGAAGAGTCCAGAAGGGCCTTAGGGAACCCTTATTTCCAGCTCAAAAGGGTGGGGTTACTCTGGTTAAATTATTGGAGAATCATTAGCAGGGTTCAGGGAGAGAAATATGGGATTTGAGGCAGAGTTGGGTAAGAGATGGGTCCTGGTCTCCTGGGCAATGAGGCTTCTTCTTCCCCTCTTTGCTGCTATACTCCTTGCTCCAGGTTTGGCTTCTCCTGGATCCTCTCCTGGTTTCTTCCAACCTCTGGAGCCTTCAAGGTGAAAGCCACATGGGTGTGTGTATATGTAATGCACACTGTGGGTAATTGTGTTTGTGTGTGCGTGGGAGGTGCGTGTCTATTCAACATACCATCCATGGAAGGATGCACCCTCTTTCTCCAATGAAATCAAGATCCTCCCTCTCCTACAGGGAAAAAAATGTAAAAAGAAAAAAATTTTTTAAAAAGTGTTATGTAAGTAAATAAAGTGATTGCATATTTCTTATAAAAACCCACACATTCTTTTGAGACCCAGCCAAGCCCAGGGAAGATAGAGGGGCCACTCCTGCAGCTGGGGGTCCTTTCTTCCCTGTCATTGCACCCCTTCTTGTGCTGCCAGAGGGGACTGGAATCAGGCCTCCCCTTCCTCCCAGCAGAAGCAGGACTATAATGTGCTGAGATTTCCCTCAGAAGTAAGCAGTAGTGTGTGAGAAGGGGGCAATGCCCATTGCATGGGGTATAGACTTTGCTGGGGGTCTCAGATCTGATGCTTGTTCCTGAAGAGACAACAGTGCTCTCAGACTGAAATGTCCCCAGGGGATGGTCACAAAGTTTGGGAGTTGGGTGCTCAAGATCAAGTTAGTCCTCAGTCCCTGGGTCCCCTGACCTGACCTGACCTGGCTCCCTTGTGAACTTGCAGCTCAGCCCTCCAGATGCCCCACCTATGTTCTTTGGTCCCTTCCTCAGATCAAAGTCAGTATTGTGTTAGTCAGCTCCCCGACACTATAAAAAAAATGCCTAAAATGATCAACTTTTTAGAAAAAAATTTTAGTTGCTGATAGACATTTATTTATATGTGGTGCTGAGAATTGAACCCAGTGCCTCACACATGCTAGGCAAGCACTCTACCACTGAGCCACAACCTCAATCCCTAAAATGGTCAACTTTTAAAGAGAAAAACACTCTGGCTCACAGTTTTAGAGGGTTCAGTTCATGATCAGCTGGCCCATTGCTTTGGCATAGCACATCAAGGCAGAAGGAGGTGATGGGCCAAAACTGTTCACCTCGTGGCTGGAAAGTGGAAGAGAAAGAAGAAGAGACTGGGATCTCATAATCTACCCCCAGGGCATGCCTCCACCTAAAAGCCTCCCATTAGCACCACCACTTCCCAAATACATCATGCTGGGGACCAAGTCTTCAGAATATTGGCCTTCAGGGGATGCTTCAGATCCAAACTATACCACTATTTCTCCACGATTTCTCTTCATCTCCATATTGGGGTAGTCTTTTGAATGTGGATGTGGTTAGCAAGATGGATTGGGAGAAACAAATGGCATCTTTAGTTCAGACTCAGGCAGTGTATTAGCCTAGGGCTGAGTAACAAAGTACTACAAACCGTGTATTTTAAAACAGAAATTCATTGACCCACTGTTCTGGAGGTGAGGTCCTGAAATCAAGGTGTCAACAGAGCCATACTCCCCTTGGACCTAGAGAGGGTACTTCCATGCCTCTTCCAACCTCTGGTAAGTTTTGCCAGTCATCCTTGTGCTCCTTGGCTTGCACTGGTTCTTGACAAAGGTGGAAAGGAAGCCTGATGTCAGGACCCCGCTCAGGCACAGAGACCATGCAGTGAGGTTCTGCAGGCAGGAGAGACACTGAGTACATCTGAGTACAGCAGAACCTGCCGGTTCATCTCTCTCCAGCTTTAACAGAGTCTGAATATGCAGGATCAATAAGGAACCATGCAGAGGAGTCCCGTGGAAGTGGTCCTGTGGTGCAGTTCCTGTGCCTCACCCAGACCACATCAGGGTTTCTGTGACGCAATACAAAACAGATACCTGCGCTTTTTCCCTCGTTCCTGGCCTGTAGCTCCTGAAATGTGTGCCATGTCCCTGGCGTGCTAATGAAACAATGGTTGTAGGTGGTTTCTGGACAGCTTCAGGACACGGCTGGTCACCAGGAGATCAGGCAGTGATTCCAGGGTTGGGGACCCTGGACAGGGAAAGGGGCTGGAGGCTTAGTTCAGTCACTAGCAGTCAGTGATTTATCAACCATGACCACGTAATGGAACCTCACAAACCCTCTGAATAACAGGCATAAGGGAGCTTTGGGCCAGCACAGGAAGGGGCTGAAGGACCACACCCTGAGGGCCTGGACACGCCCATTGCCCACACCTACCTCACATGAGCATCTGTTGCATTTTGTCATTCCTGATTTATTCCCTCATAATAATTCAGGGCAAGTCCAGCACTCCCCTGAATTCTGTGAACCATTCCAGCGAGCGTGGAACCGACGTGGGCTATGGAACCCTGGGTTTGCAGCCATGTCAGACGATATGCAGGTGACAGAAGGACCCACCTACAGGGTCTGCATAAATTTCCAGAGTTGAGTTGCAGGATGCCCAATTGGTGTCTAGAGAGTCCTGAGACTGGTTAGGGAGGGGAAAATAACTGAATTTCATGCTTAACAAGTAAGGGAAGCATAGCTGTGTCATCTTTAAAGGAAGCTGGGGCAGTAAGACACATGCCCCTGAGTGTCCCCTTGTCCAGCCCAGGTGAGACAGCAGTGAGCGCAGCCGGGGTGGAAGGTCCAGGTATGTCTCATCTTGAAGGACCCCGGCTCCTTGGGGCACACTGGGAACCAGGTCCAGGTGCTGGTATCTGCAGAAATCTACTTTCCTGCATGGACTCCAGGGCGGCAGCTCCTTGGGAGGCTGGTCAGACAAGCCACCAGGCAAGCCCACGCTCAGGATGTCGCTGCTCCTTCAACCTATGTATAAACCCCTCTCTTAGCAGGGACGGGGCAGGACTGAGGGTCCTGTGGAAAGGACACGCATCACTCATCCATCCAGCTGCCGCTGGACCAAGTTCTATGTGGGAGAGGGGGTGCTGCTAGGCCAAGCACCATGTGGGGCAGAGGTGCCATCTCTCTGATCTGTCCCCACTGAACCCTGCTCAGAGCAGGCTCTGGTGACTTTAAGCTTTACTGGTAAACCATGTCTCCCATGCTGTCTCCAACAACCTATCCCAGTGTCCTGGCACAACTGGGCTGTGTACCAAGACAGCAGTACTGTGATCTGCGGGGCACTCTTCGTCTGATGGCCGTTCATGCTTCCTTTAACAGAGGCACATTCTGATGATGAGACCTAATGAAACCAAGCTTCAGATATATTTCATCCCAAATTACTTCGACATGCCTCTCTTGAGAAAAAGGACTTTTCTCTACCCTATCTAAAAATAGGAGACCATTAGGCAGCACCTCAGATTCTGATAAGGCAAACAAAACCAAACTTTGTAAATAGTAGGTTTAGGTTTCTAATCAGAAAAACCCAGCTCACTTCTGCTAGGGCCTGGCCACTCTGACCAATCAAGTATTTCTTTGTCTTTCTTTTTTTCCCATTTTTTAAAATGATCAATTACTTCTACATGACACATCATACACAAATGGAGTATAAATTCTCATTCTTCTGGTTGTACATGATGTAGAATCACACCAGTCATGTAGTCATATATGCACATAGGTAATAATGTCCGATTAATTCTACTGTCCTTCCTACCCTTCCCTCTCACTCCCCTTCTGAAAATACCTTGTGAAAGTTCTCCCTTCACCCCTATTCAGAGTCCTGCAGCCCTTGTGGTCCAGAGTAGCCATATTCATGAATCTACTCAAATAAATTTTAATGTACCTAAGTTCAGTCTTTTTTTTTTTTTTTTTTTTTGGTACTGGGGATTGAATTCAGGGGCATTCAACCACTGAGCCACATCCCCAGCCCTAATTTGTATTTTATTTAGAGACAGGGTCTCAATGAGTTGCTTAGCTCCTCACCCTTGCTGAGGCTGGCTTTGAACTCGTGATCCTCCTGTCTCAGCCTCCTCAGCCACTGGGATTACTCTTGGCTAAGTTCATCTTTTAACACAGCAGAAATTGGAAAAACAATGGCCCATAGGCTAAAATACAGCCACTGTTTCTCTGCAGCTCCCAGCTGAAGTGGCACCCCCTTTCTCCACAGAAAAGTTTTAACTGGGCCTCTCCAGAAATCTTCACCATGGCTGATTTTTTTTTCTTTTTTTTATTGGTTGTTCAAAACATTACAAAGCTCTTGACATATCATATTTCATACATTAGATTCAAGTGGGTTATGAACTCCCAATTTTACCCCAAATACAGATTGCAGAATCACATCGGTTACACATCCACATTTTTACATAATGCCCTATTAGTAACTGTTGTATTCTGCTACCTTTCCTATCCTCAACTATCCCCCCTCCCCTCCCCTCCCATCTTCTCTCTCTACCCCATCTACTGTAATTCATTTCTCTCCTTGTTTATTTTCCCATTCCCCTCCCAACCTCTTATATGTAATTTTGTATAACAATGAGGGTCTCCCTCCATTACCATGCAATTTCCCTTTTCGCTCCCTTTCCCTCCCACCTCATGTCTCTGTTTAATGTTAATCTTTTCTTCCTGCTCTTCCTCCCTGCTCTGTTCTTAGTTGCTCTCATTATATCAAAGAAGACATTTGGTATTTGTTTTTTAGGGATTGGCTAGCTTCACTAAGCATAATCTTCTCTAGTGCCATCCATTTCCCTGCAAATTCCATGATTTTGTCATTTTTTAGTGCTGCGTAATACTCCATGGTGTATAAATGCCACATTTTTTTATCCATTCATCTATTGAAGGGCATCTGGGTTGGTTCCACAGTCTAGCAATTGTGAATTGTGCTGCTATGAACATCGATGTGGCAGTATCCCTGTAGTACGCTCTTTTAAGGTCTTCAGGGAATAGTCCGAGAAAGGCAATAGCTGGGTCAAATGGTGGTTCCATTCCCAGCTTTCCCAGAAATATCCATACTGCTTTCCAAATTGGCCGCACCAGTTTGCAGTCCCACCAGCAATGTACAAGAGTACCCTTTTCGCCACATCCTCGCCAGCACTTGTTGTTGTTTGACTTCATAATGGCTGCCAATCGTACTGGAGTGAGATGGTATCTTAGGGTGGTTTTGATTTGCATTTCTCTGACTGCTAGAGATGGTGAGCATTTTTTCATGTACTTGTTGATTGATTGTATGTCCTCCTCTGAGAAGTGTCTGTTCAGGTCCTTGGCCCATTTGTTGATTGGGTTATTTGTTATCTTATTGTTTAATTTTTTGAGTTCTTTGTATACTCTGGATATTAGGGCTCTATCTGAAGTGTGAGGAGTAAAAATT